TTAATCCGCATTCTGCATACCAGCAATCTTGAAGTATGAATGCCACAAAACCTAGTTGCCAGTTTTATGGTGCTGAAATATTTCAGAGATGCTAGTGTCCAGACACCCCTTCTGTCATTGTGTTCAGTTCTGACAGGGTTGTGTGTGTTTATTAGCACATGTAGTAATTGGGAAACCCATACATCTTAGAGTCATCAGTTGCTTATACGAAGTGGTTCTAGTCATCTTAAGAGAATCTCAAATTTCAGGGATTTTATTTTTAACAGGGACCATACTGTAGCAAAAGCATGGTTACTACTGCTGAAGCTTCAGATCAGATTTACTGGGTTTCCCCATAAAAATGAGATGTTGCCATATACAGACTCATGAACATACCTAGACTCATGTGTGCAAGCTTTCCTCTCCTGGCCATGAACCTTTCAGTCTCTTTAAGTTTGCTGCAGCTATTCTAACCAAGTTTTGTGTTGGGCCATCCTGATCCAAACCCCATGAGAAGTCCCAGAAAGACTCTAGTTGTTCCCAGTAGTGTCTCTATCAATCAGGCTTCTAATGAGTACAGATGCCATTCTTCAGAGTAGTAGAGATCTATACTTCTAAGTATTTTCTGAAAGCTCTGCTTGCAAAAAAGACATTTTCATTCATGTACATGACAGGTTAGGGGAGGGAGAAATTCCTGTAGCAAAATTTTTCTTCCTTTCATCTGATTTACTTGTCTAAAACATTCCTACATCCTTCCTTGATGCTTGCCAGTTAATGCTAACTATTCAGAGAAACATGAAACTTTTTACAATCTCTTCTTAGTGTTCACTATGAACCACAGTTCAGATTAAAACTGGGATTTTAGTAATTAATTAAAAGCCTTGGCCAGCAATGGGATCATTTGAGAGTTCACTAAACTTCTACGTTTATTAGAAAAAGATGCTTTTAAATTTACTTAAAAGACATCTCAGGATCCTGAAGTAGTTTAAGTCCAAACTTAGTACAGATATGTAAATGCAGTATGAAGCGGAACAGTCTCTAAGAAATGTAAATTGTTCAGAATTTGAAAAAACAAAACAGCCCCCAACAAACTCCTGAATATTGGGAAGCTGGTGTATCTGATCCAAAGTCCAAAAGAAGCACCCAGGTGATCTAGTTTGCATACTTAATAGGTAAACAGGAAACAAAGATCATAAGCAACGAAACCCGTCCCTCTTCTGCTGAAAACTGTTGTACTAATTCTTAACACATACCAAATTTATGTGTAGAGATATTCTATAGATGTTTTAAAAACTTTCTAGAAGAGCTTTCTTTGTTTCAAATGGAAACAAAGAGGGGAGTTGAACAATTCTTGAGATTTATAATCCACTTATGTGACTGTAGGTTTGTTGTTTGTATTTCATTTTCTGTTGGTTTTCTTTTTCCAAATGAAATTGGATAATTCTAAGTAGAGATGCTACTGGTAAGCTGAACTCTTGTCTCCTCGTCAGAACAGAAGCTGTACGCTTCACAGCTGGAAGACCTCCAAATGGTTTGTGGTTACTCAGCACTCTGGGCAACATGCAGAATAAATTTGATAGTTTTCTATTAGTGGAAGAAGTACTGAGCAGAGTTATCTCTGAACCTTACAGAGTGCACATGTGCAAGCCCCTCAGGTCAGTGGTCCACTGGCAGTCTGTCCATCTTGTCTGTACTTTTTTTGCTGTGCTTGGATGACACTGCATGATGGTACAGGGAGGGAAATGAACAGAGGTTTTCCATTGCTTCCATGGTTGTACTTGAGAATTTTACAGATTTTGTACTTAACGTTTCTGTGTGGTGAGCCAAGTCTGCATGGTAGAATGTTCCATCTGGTGTGAGTTAGTTATGGCTGACCAGCATGTTTGAAGGATTTGCAGCACTGTGCCTAGTTTGGGCTAACACAAAAGTCAGACAGGAAGACATCTTAATGGTTCAAGTGCCTTAGTCTTGTATTTACTTAACTGTGTTCCAGTTCAAGTCTATTTTGTGTCAGGATATTCAGCTATTCAAAACAAAGCAGTTTTGTATTGTTTTCTAGTTTATAAACTCAAAACTAAGCACACAGAAAAGAAAAAAATGTCACCTAATAGTTACTCTTAGTGTGTGTGGGGGGGTTAATTTTTGCAATTTATTGTGATAACTGTATTAAATAATTCCACATGAAGCATCAAGTGCGCTTCATTGTCCTAGCAGTAGTGAGAGCTTATGAGAAATCACAGCATGAAGGAATCTGAGAAACTGTCAGTTGGCTGTATTTTGCTTAAGATACACTATTTTTTTTTCATAAATACTGGTTTTAAATATCTGTACACAGACATTCAACCTCATGCATAGCAGTTCTTTTCAGCATGGGATTTACACATCATAAACTTCAGCAGGCTTCTAACAGTTTACCTATAGAGAAGTTCTACAGCAAAGGGAATTGCTTTCTTTTTTCCCTAGCCTCATGACTTACTCTGAAAAGGAGTATTTTGGTCTTTTGCGTGTGCTGTTTTTAAAATCAACATCAGCCAAGTAATAGTACCTAGTCCTTAAAAAGTAAAAAGTTGTTCTTTAATTATTAGCTAAAATCTAGTGACCTATCATATAACCTCTGACATGAAAGTATTTTAACTGGGGGAAACTTGGCAGTGTGTTCCATAATGAAGGCTTTTTCCAACCAGACCACTGTTCTTGCCATTATAAACTGATGAATTCATTGCCATTGTGGGTACAATTTCTGAATAATGCTTTTTCTAAAATGGTATTGCCTAGAAAAGCTTTGTAGTTTGGAAGCTGGATGATCATGATGCCATTTTAATTTTATTTTGAAAATATGTGGTAGAGTTGATGTTGAAATGCATTGGGCTTTCCATGGCTCTTTGATTCTGGAACTGCCACAGATGTAGACTAAGCTGTTGGTTACCTTTGACAAAAATCTGCCTGTTCCTAAATCGTAATGATCTAATTTTCTTATTATCAAACAATTCTCAAACTATGGGTAGGAAAAGTTACTCGGAAACAACTTCTTAATTTAAATGTTTTGGTAAATGAGCATTAAATCTTTTGAAAATAGAACCACTAGCTTTACTTTCTTGGTTTGGCGGACAGTAGAAATATTTACTCCTAGAGTTTTCATAAGAAACAGAGTTAATTGTATTCATTTTCAGCACTGGTTAAGAGCCTAGTAGCCACAATCTACCTCAGGTTGGTCTAACCTGTGTGATGTGTGTGGGAGTGGGAGTGGGACAAACCAGACCAATAAAGGATTGTAAGAATGTGCCTCCCACGACTTCATTTCTTCTCCGTGATCTATAATGTCAAGGGGAGCTTTAAAAGCCCTGACAGGCAGTGGTAGTAAAAAGTGGTTTGGATAAAATAAGCTGGATTCAAATAAACTCTTGAGCTTTTAAAGTGTTCCAGAGGAAATCACTGTATTCGGTGTTCTGCGGTTTTATCCATTGCCAGTGTTGGTAGTACTGAGATAACATGGAAGAGATTATTCTTGCAGTAGTATTTGTAACTCAAATTGATTTTTTACTTCCTGATTGTATATCAAAATCTGCTAAAGTTTGTGGGGTTTTTCTGGGAAGCAGAAAGAGATTTGTTTCAACAACTTTAATTACCCATTTTGTATGTATTTCATATTTGTTATTGTTGAGTATATACTTTATGTGATTCCTGTTAGTAGTAAAGCATAATATCTAAAATATTACATATGTGATAAAACATGTACAGGTATGTACATAGGAGACAATTCTAAGGCTGAGATTTTAGTCTCTAACTTATGATTCTCTTGACTTTCTACTGTATGTTTTGCATTGATTTTTGGTGGTGTTGTTAGTTATTGAAAAGAAGTAATTAAGATTGGCTGGTGGCTGCAGCATGAAAGAAAATCAGTATGTCAGATTAAAACGTATAGGATGTATTCCTCGAGATAGCAAAAAGCATCAGGGTTCATGGATGCCAGTAATGGTTCTGGGATCAAAAGCAAGGTAGTCACTTCAGTGAAGCCCTCCACTAGAGTTCATTAGTTCTGTGATAAGGTAAAATTTGGCTCACCCAGTTCTTCTGTGCATAGCTGATGTCAGTGGAAGCGTGCTAAGTTGTGCTCATGCAACTGAAAATAGGAATTTGTCTGTTCTTAAACCCAGCCTTAATAAACTTAGGAGATGCATTTTCCTGCCAAATTTTTGTATTTTCTAAAGATGTTCTAAACAGAAAGGAAAATTCTAGCCCATATTTATGATGAATGGTTATTCATAAACTTTAGTTGAGTGAGTACCTCAAAGATCAGAAAAAAAGTTAGGTTCTTCTCATCATTGATGAGGAAGGAGTTATATTCTGACTTTTAAGGGATTATGGCCTTGCTTATTAAAATTGAAACATGAAATGCATACCAGATCCTCCACACGTGTAGAAATTTCCTAGTCTAACATTTCCTATGGATTCCTTTGTGAAGAGGCCTTACGTATATTCTACGGACTGCAGCTCTGATTGAAAGCCTGTTTCTACTTTGCACCACCAAGAAAAGGAGTAACTGATTCTTCATAGTGTAGTTAAATCATCAAGTAGAAATGGATGAACTGGTAATTGCATGATATATGTTCAAGGCAAGTATTGCTGGTAGGTTCCTACCATTCTTGCTCTGAACGGAATGCATGGTAGCTGCCTCTCAAATTTCTAGCACTGTAATAGTGTAATTCTTCAAATTAGTATGAAGAGTTTGTGGAGCCATAAACGTGCATTCAAAACAGCATAAAAAGAGAGAACTATATTTGATCTTGAGCTATGAATGGCATATTACGTTTTCATCAAGAAAACTGTTATAAATTGAAATGTGAAATAAAAGAAGATAATGCCATTGGTTGACACTGTATTTGTAGAGGCAATTAAGTTTTGCAGAAACAGTTACATTAGTATTTAGCAGTACTTCTGTCATGTGGTACACCACCAGTCAAAGCCCTTATGTAATGCCTTGTCCTTTTCTTTCCTGTTCCCTGTTGCTTATCTCTCCACAGTGCTGCATACCCAAGGTCCCATTGATGGCAGTCTGTATGCGAAAGTGAGAAAGAAGAGCTCTTCAGACAGCTGCATCCCTGGTGTTGCTCAGGATGTTCCTGTGACTGGCAGTCCTGATCACAGTGATCATACTCTGTCTGTCAGCAGCGATTCAGGACACTCAACAGCTTCCATCAGGACAGACAAGACTGAGGAGCGCGTTGTGCCTGGAGTCAAACGAGGTCTGAGTCCAAAAGAGAAGGCAGAACTGGACCAGCTACTTAGTGGCTTTGGTCTGGAGGATTCTGTCAATGCCACCAAGGATATGACTGATGCTCAAAGCAAGTACAGTGGGACTTGCCACATAGTGCCAGCTCAAGTTCACATGAATGGAGAGACGAAACTGAAGGACAGGGAGACCGATATTCTGGATGACGAAATGCCTAATCATGACCTTCACAGCGTGGACAGCATTGGGACTTTGTCTTCCTCAGAAGGGCAGCACTCCACCCACCTAGGGAACTTTAGTTGCCATAAGAGCAGTCAGAACTCACTTCTTTCAGATGGCTTTGGAAGTAACACTGGGGAAGAGCATCACAATGCTTTTGCCCCAGACCTGGGAATTGGGGTGGATCCCCTCTATGAGAGATCGTTTGGAAGCACTGAGCCAAAGTCAGCTCAGCAATTGCAACGGAATCCTTCTGTCTCACCACAGCCTCAAGCCTACGACCCAAGTAACTACTCTACTCAGACCTGGGTACGCCAGCAGCAGATGGTCACTGCTCACCAATATGGTTTTGCTCCAGAGAATGAAATTAGGGTTGGCATTCATAACACTGTGGAGAATGCGGGCAGTGTCCAGCGCCAGTCCCGAGTCCCGGACACCCCGACACGTGGCTCCAGCAGCAGAGATGCTGTGCAAAGGGGACTAGGAAGCATGCCAGGTGCTGCTGAAGCTGCAGAACATGCCAGTGCCGAGAGTTTTCAGTCAAGGCCAGTGCCTCAGAGGAACACAAATGGCCTGGATCTAGGACTGAATGCTGCGGACTTGCCAGCTTCTCCAACTTTGGATATTGATCAGTCCATTGAACAATTGAACAGGCTGATCTTGGAGTTAGACCCTACGTTTGAACCTATCCCGACACGCATTAACACTGTCACCAGAGACAGAAATCAAGTAAATGGCTTTACCAGCCTTGATATAGATGTGGAAGGGCTTGGCAGGAGTCCTGGCTTCCATGACAAATTAGAGGTCACAAACAGGAATCCCTCCTGGCATGGTAAGCTGTTGTAATACTTTAAGTATAATACATTTCCTCGCACTTGAGTGTTCTTGGTATGGTACAGCAGGACCTCGGGTCATGACTTACAACTTTCATGACGGTTATCAAGGGATTATTTCTGATAACCTCTTTACCTAAGCATCCAAGAAATTACAGAATCAAACTGATGTAAGATAAGTGAGTTTTGCAGGTACTTTTTTCTTGATTGAAAAAAGTACTGATCAGCAAATTCTTACCTATTATAGATCATCAGTTGGGATTTTTTGCTGCTCTGAGTTTAAGTGATAAGGGAGCAGAATTCCTACAGTTCCTAGATTGAAACATTTTTGGAAGGCATCTGTAGTGAAATGGTTTATGATTTAGGGCCCAAAATAAACGAATGAACTGTGTCTAGAGTTTAAACGCTGCAGAGAGCTTAATATGTGTAGAATACAGGGTACACAATGCAAGGCTGGAGGCCTCTGTTCTTGGCTTTTGTCATCGAGATTTATGGACCTCATTCTAGTCATATTTGTAGTGACTTAGGATATTTATGTTTAAGAAAACTTCCTTTAAAAGTTTAACCCTTCAAGTGCTTTTTCTTCATTTTACTTTCTATTTTTCAGGGCCTTATGCTGCCACTGTTGTTTAGGTTGGTTAGCATCTTCTTGCCTTAGTGGTCTCTTTGAAACAGGGTGCTAGTGTAAAACGGTGTTCAGTATTCTCAGCTGAAATTTGTTTGTGGTTGTCCTTGTTGACAAGTTATAGTTCATTTCATCAAAGGCTGCAAAACTGATTCGGTGCTTTTCCTTTCCTCCAGCTCCTTATTTGGTGGGGTGTGGGGAGACATTATTGGTTTATGTTTCTGGGGGTGTAAGCTGAAGCACCATCACTTTCAACAACTGCTACTTCAGAGGATGGTATCTTCTGGTAGAAGAGGCAGAGAGTAGACATAGTAAGGATTTAGATGTTTTAATTTATTTGGGGCCTTTAGGCAGCTGAGTGCATTTGAGTGTCCTAAAGTTTAAAGACCTCTGCTTGTGGTTAATGTAGGTAGTGTCTTGAGGAGTTTCCCTTGTGTAAAAATCATGTGCCTTGCTCTTGAGGCAGTAATTTTAGATATGTGTTGAGTCCCTTGCCTGCCCCTTGAACCCTTTGAGTATATTAATTGTGATTAACAGTGCAATTTTTTGTTGTGTCTAATGCAATTGAAATGCAGCAAACTGTTCCCAAGAGAGGTGGCCTTAAGCTGCCTCCAGGATGTCCGCCCAAACCACAACACAGGATCCTTGGACATGCATTACCCCATTCATCTTTGCATCAGATCTGGTAACTCTGCAGTGGTGAGGTTTGTTGGATTAGCTTGTTAATTTAATGGTTTGAAGGTTTTCTTACAGGTTAATTCTCTGTCAGATCAAATAGTTAAACTTGCAATGTGAACAGGTAGTCACTGAAGGAGTGGTGAGGGCACATGGCTGGATGTGGGGGACAAGCAGAATGGCCATTTTAGCAGCCTTTAAAGCAGATAGAACAGATTTATTCTGAAACCACATACCTATATCTTTGTGATAGGATCTAATCCTTAGGAACTTTACTGTGAGGAACACAGCTATTCCACCATGTTACCAAAACCCATTAGGAAATTATGATTAGTACTGGGGCAGAGCTATGAGAAAGGTAAATTCAGTATTTTAGGGTGTTAGCTCCAAGGCTAAAGTTGGAGATGTCAGGATTCAGGTGTCATTTTCTGCATATGCTTCAACATGTGATACTGGAGTAAGTTACATAAGAATAGCATTTAATTAAACAACAGATTTTTTGAAAGAAATATTCCTTCGTATAGCTTTATGACATTTTAAGTTTGCCGTGATGTCAAGTGCTGAAATGTTCTATTTCTAACTTTTGCAAGTATCACTCAGTTTATACTAGTAAGAGCTTGATTTTAAAACTACCCATGGTTCCAAAGGTAAAACAATGTGTTTATGTGGCATGCTGCCACCTCTGCTTGAGACGAGGAGGTCACCAGCACATACTAGTTTTCCAGATGCTGTGGGATTTATTTATTTACATAGCTGGACTTGCCCTGCTGCTTTATATAGAATCATTTATGCATGGTGTGCACAAGACAAGGGGAAAGAGCAGTTTGACTGAAGGACTGTTAAGAATGAGGAAGACCTGGACTGTTTTTCCCTTGATACATCATCTGATGGAAAGGGAGCATTCTAGCGGCAAGGAGAAATTATGAATTGGGATGGTCAGATGGAAGCAGCAGGGGTATAATTTCATGTCTCATCTGAATCCAGTCATAGTTCTGAGCATAAAACACAGATGTTCTGATATGTTTTCAAACTCTGCATAGCACTTCAAAGGAGTAAACCAGAAGTGTAGTCCAAACATCATGATATTGTGCTAGGCAGGTAACTGAATACTAGAAAAGTAACCTACTGTTTGCAGAATCCCCTACTACCTCCCAAACCTCAGCTGTATGAGAAAACAGGTAGATAAATTGAAACAGCAAAATTAATCTATTTTGACGGTGGGTGGGAAAAGGAGCAGCAAGCCTAAAGGGTGAGAAACAAGGAAATACTCTTTATTAGCTCCCTTCCTTTTTTCAAACATGCTTGACAGTTCAGTTGTCTTTGGGGACCATAGGCATGCAATATCTATGTGAGGAGAAGTAGCGAAAGTTGCCTTAAGGTATGCAGGTCTGTCAAATGGTCTAGAGTTCCAGTGTACAAACCCAAGCCCTTAAAAAGTCTGTCGTCCTATTCCTACTGAGAATTAGTGCTTCTGTGCAAGGATTAATAAATAACAAGAGATATCCTCTGTACTCATTTGGTTAAATAGCAAGTGTTAAAACAGTTTAAAAAAAATCAGATAAAAACATAACTCATTGTGTTTGGTTATTCTTGCATGTGTGGAAACAAATTAATGTATAATGTCATGGAAAGTTCCTCTTCAGACTTTTAATGTTGCTTTCCCTCCACAGCGCACAGCTAAAGCACCAGTTTAGTCTGACTCCATTCCCCTGTACATGCACACACATACAGTAAAGCTGAAGTACTCCGCATACTTGCAGTGAAAAGCTGTAAGCGTGTGCTATACTAGAAAGAAAAGAAAACCTTATAGTATAAGATAAATAATCCCTTAAAATCATAGAATCATAGAATGGTTTAGGTTGGAAAGGACCGTAAAGATCATCGAGTTCCACCCCCCCTGCCATGGGCAGGGACACCTCCCACTAGACCAGGTTGCCCAAGGCCACATCCAGCGTGGCCATGAACACCTCCAGGGATGGGGCCTCAACAACCTCTCTGGGCAACATGTTCCAGCGCCTTACAACCCTCAAAGTAAAAAACTTCTTCCTAATGTTTAATCTAAACCTGCCCTCTTCCAGTTTAAAGCCATTCCCCCTCGTCCCGTCACTACATGCCCTAGTACAAAGTCCTTCCCCAGCTCTCCTGTAGGCCCCCTTTAGGTACTGGAAGGCCGCAATAAGGTCTCCCCGGAGCCTTCTCTTCTCCAGGCTGAACAGCCCCAACTCTCTCAGCCTCTCCTCATAGGAGAGGTGCTCCAACCCTCAGATCATCCTCTGGACACGCTCCAGCAGGTCCATGTCTTTCTTATGTTGAGGACTCCAGAGCTGCACACAGTACTCCAGGTGGGGTCTCACGAGAGTGGAGTAGAGGGGCAGAATCACCTCCCTTGACCTGCTGGCCACAGTTCTTTTGATGCAGCCCAGGATGCGGTTGGCCTTCTGGGCTGTAATCGCACATTGCTGGCTCACGTTGAGCTTCTCGTCAATCAGCACGCCCAGGTCCTTCTCCTCAGGGCTGCTCTCCAGCCATACCCCAACGAGCCTGTATTTGTGCTTGGGATTGCCCCGACCCAGATGTAGGACCTTGCACTTGGCCTTGTTGAACTGCATGAGGTTGGCTTGGGCCCACCTCTGCAGCCTGTCCGGGTCCCTCTGGATGGCATCCCTCTCCTCCAGCGTGTTCACCTCACCAACCAGCTTGGTATCATCGGCAAACTTGCTGAGGGTGCTCTCAATCCCACTGTCCGTGTCCGCGACAAAGATGTTGAACAGTACAGGTCCCAGTACCGACCCCTGAGGAACGCTGCTCGTCACTGCTCTCCACTTGGACATTGAGCCGTTGACCGCAACTCTTTGAGTGCGATCGTCCAGCTATTTCTTTATCCACCGAGTGGTCCATTTGTTGAATCCATGTCTCTTCAATTTAGAGACCAGGATATCGTGTGGGAAATAACAATAATACATTGTTGTTCATTGCCAGTTCGCGGTAACAGAGCACAAGCCTGCTGGATGTAGTTTACCTTACCTTGGAGTAGACTTACAGAATTAGGGTAAGCAGGGGATTCTCCACGGCAATTAATTAGCTGTTGAAACTACTGCAGCACAGGAGGTGTAATTGATAGCGCAAAGAAATGCTGGCTGCCGTGGGGTTGAGTAATGGTTGGTCTTGCACAGTAAGATTTTAGGGGGACCTCTATACCCTGTGACTTTAACAGTCTTTAACCTAACAACTACATCAAGGGCATTAATTGGCCTGTGATGGAGGGAGTTGGCAGATCAGGGCTGAATGGCTCTGAGGTTGAGTGGATACTTGAGGTATTCTGAGTGAGTGAGAGCAAGCAGTGCTGGATATGAATGGGATTGATGTGATGTACTGTATGTGTGCCTAATTTGAAGGTTGAATTATGAGAGGATGGTGGGTTTATCTGTTTTCCTGCATGAGCGTGCAGAAAATGTATGCCTTAAGAAGGCATGTGCATGTTTCCAGTGCTTGCCAAAGCTGGAAGAAGGAGCTTAAGAATGAAATCTGTGTGTGTCAGCTGTGGTGTACATTATGGTGCCTTCTTAACCTCTCTTTGCTTGTGTGTTTCTGCACTGATTGACAGATAGGCAGCTACCTCTCCTTTCACACTTCTTCCTAGAGGTTTTCATACACGTATATCCTTAGCATAGGTTAATATGGCACAAACTACTGACTGCC